ATCATGATAATTCTATATGCAACAAAATAAACTGATATTTCAATCAATTACACATCAATCAATACTCTTCAGAAATGAAAGTGTCGCAATGACACAGACTCACACAAAAAAGGACACAACAGAGAGGGCGGGGAGAATTCAAGTCAGTTTTTAATTGAGCACACCACTCGACGTACATTATAGAAACGAAGCGAGTATATATGGAGAACTCCCATTATATACTCTTTGATAATATATATGTGTAATTTTTTATGCTGAAATAATAAATGAATATTATATATAAAATTCATAAATTAATTTATAAAAACCAAAATGAATCACAATTTGTTGACGGTAGTGCCGCTATACCCGCTTTGTATGTTGTGCGCTAGCATAACTCATCTATAATTTATATCATACATAATAATAATATTATAATAATTAATAATTAGTATAAATCATAATATGTTCATAGCAGAAATTCTGCATTTAAGATATTCGTAATATGAAATCTTGCCCTAATAGCGACCGACGGGTGTGGACACCACAGCACTGTTTGTTATCTGCGCTGTCTATATAATATGCTATATAATTGCAAAAAACCCTACCTAATTGCCATATTTTTTCAAATATTATAACCCTAGCCTTATTTCATTCACATTATCCAAAAATGAGCAAAGATACGTTAGAACCTTGAACTGGACTAATGGCAATTCCCATTTTTGCCAAAAATTGCCGCTGGCTCGGGAAAGTACGTCGACTGGCGCTGCTCCAAAATTAGCGCGGTTAATATGGGAGCATATAGCGAGTATACAACTATACCCATTTCAAACATTGTGGGCCAAAACGGTTTCCTACGTTATCGTTTGACCGAAGCGAAAACACGCGTCGTTGACGGAAGACGTACGACGGACGACGAAACCCATTGGCAAATAGCTCAGGCTTGACGATGTTCAAGGGTGAGCTTAAAAACGGCCGAGTATTTTATATACATGTGTGTTGAAACCAAATTCATGGCATGTTTTTGTGTCATAAATTTCGATTTTTGTTTATGGTTGGATTTTTATATCACTATAACATATCGATTTTATATCCACATCATAACATTCGATTTATCCACATATTAAGCATATTTATCAATATAAAATTTCGATATTATCGCGGCGATATTATTTATTTTTATATCAAAAATAGAGAATCGAATGATTCGATGCGCTGAATCGAATGATTTGATGCTGCGCATGAATCGAATGATTCGCGATGCCGAGACGCGTGATCGAATGATTCGATGCGTGAATCTGATCATGTTTCGAGAACTGCGTAGATCGAGATCATTCGATGTGCGTGAAATCGAATTGATGCCATCGAATCATTATTGATGCCGTGAACTCGAATCATGTCGAGTGACCGCGTGATTCCGAATGCCATCTCGATGGGTGAATCGAATGATTCGATGGTCCCGTCAGGCGCATGAATCGAATGATTCGCATGCGTCGTGAAATCGGAGATGATTCGAGTTGCTGTTGCAATCGAATGACTTCGATGCCTGTGAATCGAATTAGTTCCGCATGCCTTGTTGAATCGATATCATTCGATGCGTGAATCGAATGACTGCCATCGAATCTTTGATGCGTTTGAATCGAATCATTCGATGCGTGATCGAATGATTCAGAGTGGCTGTGAATCGAATGATTCGATGCGTGAAAGTCGAATGATTCCATCGAATCATCTCGATTTCACGCATCGAATGATGCACTCGAATCATTCGATTCACGTATCGGATGATTCGATCCTGAAATTTAATCTATTACCTTGCCACTGTTTCCGAATCTGAGGCGCCATCTATCAAACAACTCTGGAGCAAAACGGGCCACTAGTTTTCAACTTCATAATACAATACAAAAACTATATCAAATACATAATGCTGACAATCTCATTCTTAGCATTTTGGCGTAGGATTGGATGTAGAGGATTGGCCGCGAGAAGACGGCAGGAGCGTAGAGCGCAGAGTGCGAAGAATGTGGAGGACAGTAGAGGAGCGGGTAGAAGCTGAGTGGAGTAGAAGGGGAGGAAGTTGTGTGGGGAAGGAGAAGTGGCAAGAATGGGGGAGGAGGTAGAGGACGGGGGTGAGAACGGTTGGTGGAGGAGAAAGTAGGGAGGAGGTGGCGCGAGGAGGCAGAGCGAGAAGTTGGTGACGGCAGGGAGGGGGTCGAGGGTGGTAAGTGAGTGAGTGAGAAAGGGAGGGAGGCGATCGAGAGGTGCGCTGCAGTGAGAGAGAAGAGGGAGGGAGGAAGCAGGGGGTCGAGGTGCGTAAGTTGACGCTGAGATGGAGGGAGGGAGGGGAGGAGGGAGAGAGATGTGCCAGCGATCGAGCGTCTTGTGACTCACCAAGCGCCGCCAGAATGCACAATATATTGTAGCGGCGCAAATTCCAGCACGCAGGACCCAATGTGATGGCTCGATGGACCGGCCCGAACGAACGACGAACGCTGAAATGATTATTATGCTTGCATAAAGATCAACCGATTAAAACAAAAATCGCACATTATTGAAACAAAATAGTATTGCCGGATACGATAGAAAAAACGATCTTGCTGCTTCTTTTAAAGGTTAGAAATAGGAGAATAGAGCTGCTGAGTGAATAAAATTATTGTCGTTGTCAATACCCGCTGGAGTTGCCGTGTCTACTTTATTACTTGATGGCCAAAATCTCGTTGATAAACGGTTAGTCGAAAAAAAAACCATATTCAACAACAAGGTAACCCGGGTAATTACTTGGAAGCCATGCCGCATAGATACATGCTTCTACGGCTATTTACTAACCATAACGTTCCTTTCGCCAACGTTTTTGAATGCGTTATTTTATGGTTCGTATGAAGTGAAACGTTTTTTACCAAAACGTCGTAACAACCGTTGTCTAATGGAAATGCCGCGGCGCCTGCCACATTAGGTGTCTCATTTCTTGTTTTTATAGCGTGATGTTTATGTTATTTTAAAACGTTGCTCAAAAACGTTCTATTACGGTTAGTTAGGAACGGACTTACATAATCTTTATAATTTAAGTTAATTGAAAAACGTTTGCCAAAATCGTTTGTTAATGGCCCTGTCACACATTTTATATTAGCCCCACACAGAGCGTATTGCAGAGGGTTTTCTATTATCGTACTCAATCTTGATATTCTTTAACTGGTTGTGCTGCTAGCGAGAAAATATAGAGAGCGTAGACCTACATATATTTGCACACTGACTTGGCAACGCGTATATTTGGTTGCAGTGTATAGCAGTGTATCGATGCTCAATAGTGGCAACATAGATATCACAACACAATATTTATGATATATGATTATATATATATATCAGGAGTAGATAATAGGGTAATTAAATAGGGTAATAAAACCCTAACCCTATTATCTACTCCTGATATATATGTGTGTGTGTGTGTATATATATATGTATGATATGTATCATATGAGTGGCAAACAATGATTTAGCGACATCTGGCGGAAACGAGCGCGAGTTTCTTCTAGTCACACGCGCCAACGTTCTATAGTAGTTACAAGAAACTATAGACATTATTACCTCCGCCAAGGATTATTATGTTTTCGCCCCTGTTAGTTTCTTGGTTTGTTGGTTTGTTGGTTTGTTGGTTTGTTTGTCTGCAACAGGAAATCTGAAAACGTTACGGACGGATTTTGAAGATTTTTTTGGACGGGTACGTTGGTCTTGGGCCAAGAACCAATCGATTAGATTTTGGTGGTGATCCGGATCCAGATCTGGATCCAGGAATTTTTTGAAGGATTTCTCATCATTGATGGTAGTGTAGCGGTTTACTCTCTTGCGACTAGCCCGTGACTTTATGTCTACTGTATTCGCCTGGTACGTGTGTCTAGGAGTTTATGATGTGTCACCGCGGCGTTAAACCTGACTACAAATTAGATCGATAGCTATATATAGTTTGGGCAAGTAAAAGTGAACAAACTTGGAAATCATAGGCTACGAAATGCTATCTCATTACCATGAGATTATTATGTTATATCATTACCATGACTTCTTATCGACTTTCTTCAATGTGTTTGGCATCTTTGTTAAAATAATAAATGACTATATTAGATAATTTGACATCTGTTAGAGAAATCCCTTCCTAGTTTGCCCATAGATGTAGAATCTATAAATATTATGTATATATCTATATTAAGAGTACATAATTAATAGAGATCTATTATGTATATCTATTATATGAATCTCTATTATGTATCTATTAAGTACCTCTATTATGTACTCTTGATCTATATCTATATGTAGATTCTATATCTATGGTTTGCCTCAGTTATGCTCGCATATGGCACAATCGCCATTAAGTGTATATAGTTGTATAAGCGATTGTTTCAGCGTGCGCAATCTTGAGATTGGTCAGCCAATAGACATATACAAACATTTGTATCAACAGTACATAATATAGAGATCTCTATTATGTACTCTTGATTTGTATATATCCATGGTCAGCCAAACTGGCAGGAGGGAGTTTGTGTTGGGAGGAAATCCGCAGTTTGGGCAGCACGATCACTGCGCCAAGTTTAGGTACAACCATAGAAATAATATAGATGTATTATTATATAGAGAGAGTGTCTCTATATATTTCTATAGGTACAACAGTGCCAATGCAGAGTCAAACAACAATAGTGATAGAGAGTAGAAGCAACGAGTTCTCAGTAATTGAATGGATGCCGTGTGCCTGGACGTGGACGTGACAGGGCGTGTGTCGCCGGCCGCGAAATTTTTTTCCCCAAACGGTATAACCACAGACTAACGGTATAACATAGGAAGGATTTAGGCGCCTTCTGATTGGCTGGAATTTGGCAAGATGTCAGCTAGCCTCCATGACTTGTAGCCAAAATCCCCAATTATCTACCAAAAACTTTCCCGAACTTTCTGTAAGTTAGGTTAAAGTAGTTTTAGCATCGAATCATTCGATTCACGCATCGAATGAATTTGAATCGAATTATGAAACAGAATACATGCCATACAAATTTGCATACATTTATTAAATAAACTAAAAATGTCATAACAATTATAGACTCAAGATAACAAATACATAATAGAAAGCCAAAATACAAATGTAAGCAATTTGCCTATAGTAAATCTGTGTGCAGACCATACAAATATAAAATGAATACACAGTCAGACAGATATGTAATTTTGACTATCATCATGTAAATTTGCTTATCGAAATAAATAGACGTCAAAAGACATAGATGAGCTCGGAACTATACTTCAGTTTCCACAGTAAAATTTAGTTGAAATTGTTTATTCTTTCGCATCTGTCATTCATTTAATCGTGATCACACAATAGACAATAATATATACATATTTTAAAGCAAACCAGCTGCATACACCTCTTTTCTAGCTACTAACCCTTGCATTATAGGTCTATAGCTAATTACATTCATGGCTCAGAGATATCCAGTCTCCTGTCCACCTCTAAAAATCGTATACATTACTAATCTCTTGGATGTGTTGATGTAATGTTTGATTTTGTAATCGTAAACTTGACTAGCAGAAAAAATCATACACTGTGGCCTCATTTAGGAAAATTCGCAAAAGCTAGCAAACAGATATGATGGGAAAACCTATAATATGATTACAATATGCAGATTGTGTCGTGAGAGAAGATACATAGTTCTAAATAGAAACCACTCAGGAATATATTTAAGATATTTAAAAAAAGTTATGCTGCTCAGGTCAGAACCACCTATAGATCATCAATAGCAATGCTAGCTTTAGACAGCCCCCATACATGTTGCAGGCTCTACACCGGTGCAGTTATTTATAGTCGCCTCTACCCTGTCATTGTAACACGTGTAACATCACAAAGGTGTAACTATGCACATTACACATCACACAAAATCCCTGATTGCAGTAACACTATTTAGTGTGTTAGACAGTCAGTGAAGTCCTCGGTTATCCATTATGCAGTTTACCCAGCAACATGCTTGAAGTTTAGGTTGCTTCAAAATAAAATCCCTTAGTGCAACTACCCTGAAAATACCGTGTTTTGACTGCCTCGAAATACCTGACTGCTGTTTATCTTAAGACTACTTTTACTTCGGCTCACTATAATACTGAATTGTTACCTCACACTATGTGACTGCTAGTTACTTTTAAATCGCCTTACTGGAGGTCACCTTTGAATTCCTAACTGCTGTCCCCCTTATAAAGCAGTAGCTGGTACCTTGAAAATGATTATTGCTGTTCCCCTTAAAATGCTGTAGTGTCTGTTACCATAAAATAGATCTCCTGCCAGCTATCTTGATATCCACAAGAGATACAGATGCCCAATGTTGGCATGCATGTAGGTAGAGGTGAAGTCACTACAACTGCTCCCATGCTCTATCTACATAGAACTGAACCACTGCAAAGTTGCCACTGACCATCCAATCACTCGCCTTCTCCTCAGCTTGCTTGTCTTGTCCCTCCTGCAGGCCAACCACTAAGTCGGCCTTCAACGTCCTTAGGACACAAAGGGGAGCCGGTAGGAACCCCTGCAGTGCGTCGACAAACGGCGTCGTATGTGGCCACTGGAGGTCGCCGGTTAACTTCCTGTAGTTCAGGTCGCCCTTAAACACGACGAGGTCAGAAGCGGAGAGGTCTTGATAGAGCTGTGGTGCCATGGCGCGCAATTCCGCGTAGTTGTGCGGCAGCGTCCAGAAATCATCCTGCTTCAGGAAGAACGTCTCGTCCTTGATATGCTGGTGCCACCTGGTGCCGAGTCGCGACAGCTCGCCGTTGTTCGACGCTTGTAGCATTTCCAGCGTCCACCAGAAGTCCTGGGAAGTCGTATCGGACACAAACCAGGGCATAGCTTTTGCATGTAGATGCACCTCGCTTGCGAGTCCCATCCGTAGCAGAAACTCTGCGAAGCAAAGGTCGCCAAACAGTTCGAAACCGGCATTGTCTAATATGATGTCGATCCTGCATCGGCCGCATTTCCTATTGGCGCACGACTTCAGATGGCGCCACATGTCATTAATCTGGTCGACGAGAATGTACGGCTGCAGTTCATCTAACTGCTCGAGAGGATCTGCCTTCTGGTAGTTTTCAGAGCCGCCGGATATGGAGAGATCATTTTTGTTTCCCCAAAGTGAAAGCTGAATACAACAAGATCACTTTGTATGAGTTACTTACTGACTAGCAGCAGCACAGGTAGAGTACTATAAGATCAGATACACAATATTCTTATACATGTAAGTTCATTATTAAAGAATATGGTTCTTATATGCAAATTACAACAGATTCACCATTCATTTTATTGAATATTTAGTAATTTTATCCTGTGTACATTGCTTAATTACTGTGAAATAAAAGCTGTCTCTAGGCAAGAGATTGAATCTCAATGCTCCAAAAATAGTTTAACCATAGATTTATCTGATGGACATTTAATAGATCTTCAGCACAAACTTAAACAAGTTGGCATAATATTAAACCGTTAACGTATACACCAGTTTCGTCCCTTACCTCTACCATGTGCCGAAAATCTTTCTCTAGTAAGTCCGCGTCACGGTGCTCATTGCTTGAAACAATATGTAGCAGATGGTTTGCTAAGGTAACTATAGGTGTTTGTGATGACATGAATGCTGATCTCTTTTGTTCCTCAAAAGGGTCAAAATCCTTCAGAAACATACTGAAATCAATGACCAAATATATTTGATTACAAATATCCCATTATAAGCAAAAAAAACCAAGGTTATGCAGCTTTCACATACTTCAGTGACAAGTCTAAATCAAGGACCAAGAGGTATTATAAATTCTACACACACACAAAAACAAAATATTACTATTATTAGTCTAGACACAAACTTTGCCAATGATATTCATTCATTAATATCAAAAATTACATTGAATAGTTTTAAACACAAAAATAACTATTAGTGCAATGAAAAGCAAATCTTAATCGAGAATAAGCAGCCCACTCCATTCATTAACAAAGGGTCTAACCTTAATGCCAGCGTTTCTTTTATACTTCTATACATAAAGCATTCCACATAGAGCCATGCATTGGTGAACCAACATGGGTCCATGCCATTCCTTTCCTTTTCCTTGTCATAGTACTGATTCCATAGTTCCACATCTGCATGCTTATCAGTCAGTTTGTACATGGGCTTGTTTGTCTGTAGCTCATATCGCAGCTTGCTAAGCCGCCCAACTGTCAGCTTGAAATCGTCTAATCCACACTATGATGGTTATATCAAAGGAGCATATTAACAAATATGTTCTGAAATCTTTTCAACAAGTATTCAATTGTTTTACAGTAGTAAAACGTTTTTGTACGATGCCAGTCACATACCTCACCATGCTTGGTTGCTAACACTGTTCTTTGCCTGTAGATTGTATCGACAGCTTTCGTTAAAATCTTTGGAAGACGATCTTTGATTGTTTTGTAGGCAAATGACCTGGAATGTGTGAATTCTGATTATTACTATAGTTATTACTTGGGCTAGCTAGGTTAGGTATACATAATTCATGAGAAAGTAGGACAACTATTTATATTTCTGCTGTGTTGACTTGAAATGTTTTATAGAGTGGACGAGGATAGAAAATGTAAATTACTTTTTACATCTAGATGTTAATGTGTACCACATGTGACGTGTACCACATGTACCACATTAAAATTATTTGCATACATAAATACAACATTAATTTATTTCATTAGTAACATGATACATTGATTGAATTAAGTTCATATATGTTGTTCTACAAATAATACTATGTGATTAGACTTACTAACAATACTAAGTGAAAGAGCTTGTTTGAAAATACTGATTTGAAAATGAGTTTCAAAAGGATCCATCAAATCTGGATCGCTGATTCAGGATCACCCTGATCTACAACACACAAACACGCATAAATCTGCCTTCAACGAATCACTGTTGGTTTATAACTAGCAACAAGTGTCCATTCGTGGAGTTACATCTGAACTCATCTCGCCCCCCGGGTCAACAATTTCTGATCCAGATCAGTGATCCACACAAACAAACACACGAGATGAATGGTTCTGTGTGATACAGATCATTTGATACATGCAAACAAACATGACCTAAGTTAATCACCGCTAGCACTTTTAGCTGATCATAAACTATCATTTGATAGATCAGAATGACAATTGACCCATTGGAGGAAAGCTGGAATTTGTTTTGGCAGAACAAAATCAACTTCTGTCTGACCCAAATCAGGCAGGCCTATCCGAAACGAACATGTACCCAGCCTAGGGTCAGATCCGGTGGATCAAGTTTTAAATTACATTGGACTGAATATAAACGGCGAGTTTGTGGAACCCACGTGATCGAGATCATGACAAGGCACTTGAGCCATTTCATTATAATGACTGTAAATAAACACAAATTGTGGTTATTACCAAATACTTAGTGTTTCTGTACTCTCTATCACTTAATAATTCCACGTAAATGCCAGTCAATTGCTCCGAGCTGCAATTGTATCGCACACATGCAGAAACAGAACGTTTCTACGAGTTCGTGCACAATGACACGCGTGATGTCAGAATGTGCTGCTGAGGAGCATTTGAATGCCATTTATGTGGAATTATTAGGTGATAGAGAATGACACTAAGACTTTGGTAGTAAATACAATGTGTGTTTTTCACGTTGAATTGCTGATCCGTTTTCACAATTGAATCATTATGAAAACGGCCCAAGTACTACTACTGACCACAGGGACTTGGAATGTTTCAATGATAAAATGTTGGTAAATAAACACTAAATGTATTTACTACCAAAGTTTTAATGTTTCTTTACTGTCTTCCACATATCATTACTGATAATTTCCTGTAAACGCCATTCAAATGCTCCCCTACAACACACCGCTGTGCACAAACAACAAGAATATAATAGAGCAGGAAGGAAAGCGTAAGTGCAAAATTCACACAACGCTCACTTTGTTTCACATAATCACAACACAAATACACAACTAACCGCCTCCACTTGGGTACACATGCGTAGCTAAAAGTTCACTTGTTCGAACTTTAATTTTGCCAACTGGTACTGCCTACTTTACCCAGAGATATCTGGTGAATTCCTAAGGTAAACTCCCACTCCGCCAAACGGTAAATGGAAGCAAGTGTCTGTTATCATTCGAAACTCACTCACTGCACTAATCGACTGCTTTGGCCAATGAACGTATTAAGTGTGACGTCATTCCCGCACACATTATGCTAGCTTGGCTTGGCAGGTCTCGAAATGGAGCTCAAAAGCGCTCATAGTCATAGGGTCTATGTTCCCCAGAATACCGCCGGAACGTACCCTGGGTACGTTCCGGTATACCCTGGTAACTATCTGATATGGTTAGGGTTAGGGTTAGGGAGTAGGTGTAGGCGACTCCTTAGACTCGTTAGTGGAGTAGGTGAGGTACGGTCCGGCATATTAGATAGTACCAGGGTACGTTCCGGCAGTACCCTGGGGGACATAGACCCTCTCAGCCTCAGAAGCAGGTACACTTCAACCCAGAATACAATCCAGTGCCATTACTCATGTACTTGATGCCACATTTTGGAGTGGGAGTTTTTGCATGAATTCACCAGATATCTCTGGGTAAATTCGCCTTATCCTAGGCAGTACCAGTTGCTTGGCAAAAATATATTTCAAACAAGTGAACATTTAGCTAAGCATAGACCGTGTACAAAAATGTCGGCGGTTGCTTATGGTATTTGTCCCGTGATTGTGTGAAACGATGCGAGCGTGGTGCGAATTTTTCAGTGATACGTACTCCATTAGGAGTGTTCCCAACTTTAAAGGAATAATAGGTCCATTGATTATGCAATGTTAACGAATGCTATCTAGAGTAACTGGCACCTTGTGTAGTTAATAAGTACATTACCTTATAGCCAAACGCGTATTAGTTTGTCCAATATCACTGCTAGTTACTAAGAAATGTCTAATTGAAATCCGTAAATCTGGTAATCTGGCGCCAACGCTAAATTGTTTGACAAGCAATATAGCCTCGAATAGGTTAGGTGACGTCACATGTTGCTACGGGTGTTGAGCAGAGAATTGTTTGTCCCGGGATGCTTATAACGACTAATGAGCTCATAGAATGTATCTCTGGGTGTATTCTCGGTATTGAGGCACAAGTAGATAACCGTGGGTGCTAATGAACGGGTACCCACGTCTTCAATTTCGGACACAGGTGTATTCGTTTGACCAATATACATAAATACGCGTAGTGCCGTCTGCTTTCCATGTTTAGTCTGTGGCCGTGGTTAGTCCGCGATCCCCCCAGTGTTGGCCCCCAACACAGCCTACTTCATTATCACGAGCGTCCGTGATTTGTACGTGGATTCCACGTTCATTACAATCAGAGCTACTGTTACGTATACAGTTACAGTACTGTACTATCGCTAGCGTGCCAGCTGAGCGCAATACAGCGGCAAGCGCTTGCAAGCTGAACGCTAATCACTGATGATAGCATTAGGTACGGCCGAGCATGCATGCGAAAATTTCCGGTGCACTATAAATCTGTATCACACCCGCTTCGCCGGCAGCGATTTGAAACAGTAGCCAACCGATTTTTGGACTGCGGATTTCAATTAGACATTTCTTAGTAACCAGCAGTGATATTGGACAAACTAATACGCGTTTGGCTATAAGGTAACATACTTATTAACTACACAAGGTGCCAGTTACTCTAGCATTCGTCAACATTGCATAATCAATGGACCTATTATTCCTTTAATTTCATTAATGGTCATAATAACATATATATATATATATATGGTCATGGTCATATATTAGTTTGTGGTTTAATGTCATTTAGGTTAGGGTTAGGGTTACGGTTAGGGTTAGGATTATCAATAATTAATCATTAACGATATCAAAGTTGGGAACACTCCTAATGGAGCGTTAGCCCAGGCCTACCCACCGGCTCAGTGCTCTATTTTGTTGTTTGTGCATAGCGGCTCCGCGATGCAGTTATTGATACTATAACTTAGGCACGAGCACATTAAAAAAGATATGTGAAAAACAAAATTAAAAACTTAACCCCTTAACTGTGTAGGACGTAATATTACGTCATGCACAATGTACACGTACATTGCGTAGGGCGTAATATTACGTCCTGATAGTGGCTCGGTTATTTCCGCAACTAAACACCAGATCGCAGCACTGAGCAGTCAACAAACACAATGGCGTCTTCCATCAAACGCAAGCTTTCTGAAGCAGAAGTTTTGAGGCGTATTCTTGAGTCAGACGATGATTTGTCGTCTTTCGTTGATTCAGAATCAAAAGATGAACCTGACGATCGGGATGAGGCGTATTTTAGCAAACGCTATAGTGACTTAGACACTGAATCTGAGGGTGATGGCGCCGGTGATGTTAGTGCCGGCAGTAGTAATGACCGTGACAATCTTATTCAGTTATTGCCGGCAGTAGTAA